TGTGAACATTTTATGCGCGTATAGACTAATCTACGGACCGGTGAGACTATTCTATAGATAATAAGAATAAATTAGCTACTTCTCGACTTGGAAAAATTTAGCACATGAAAAGTGGACCATATGAAGTATCATTTATGTCAATCCAATTCAAGCCCTATGAAAAAAAAAATCATAAAAATAATTTTTTGCGGCAATAAATATGCACATTAATAAAGAGAGCTAAAACTTTACCGGCATAAGTTTATCGCCATTGGATCAAATGTCGCTATAAGTTTTAGGGACATTTACAAAAAGTGTTAATAATTGCCTTTAAAAGTACATATTTAGCGGCAATTAATCTATTACTGTTAAAGATCATTTGAGTCAGATACAAGTTCCATTTCTTAACATACAGAGATTTCAATAGCTCGGTTGATTTGCTACTTAAAAGTGTTTTTGTAAATGATTAGCCAAACACAAATATAACTTCTCACCAAAAATAAATACTTTTCAAAATAAGTTAATTTTAGAAATTTAACGAAGCAAGCTTACTCAAGACTGAAAACATCATAGTCATCAACTTGAGAGGACTTGACCAACTAAAATAATATAAATCAAATGTTCGGAAAATTATAATCAAATATCATTCGATCATCTAATTTATATAATATATATAGTATATATATAACAGAAATATATAAATAATATATACTTTGATCATATTGATAAACTAATTAGCCGAAGAATGCGTAAGTTTCCTATAAATGTTAGCCCAAGAGTCAAGCCCTCAAAAAGGAAAAATGGAAGTGATTTTTTTTTCTTTTTTTTTTTGGTCATAGATTTTTTTTTTCCAACAAGAAAGGGTCCACACATTTATAAATTCCTTATCAATGATCCCTTGAGAAATATTATAAAAGGACTAGCATATAAGCTTATTGATTAAAATATAATCACCTCATATAAGATAATAAAATTAATTCCTTTTTGCTCCAATTTGATCTCCATGAATCACAAAGCATTATTCTTAGCTTTTTTTGTCATAATCCTCTGTCTATTCTCAGCAACCTCTAGAAGATTGACAGGTGTAGTATTAATCCCTTTATTGTAATGTTGTATAGGGACGGAGCTAGATAAAATCGAGGAGGTTTTTTAGTAGAAAATTATATTTTTTATATATAGTTTAACTTATTACTTTTTACGTATATATAGAAGATGTTAAACCTTCATTGACTTCTTATTTTGTGTGTCTATTTCTTTATATTAATGAAAATTCTGACTTCATCATTCGTAATGTAATTGTACCATTAGTTTCTTATTTTATACTAATTTTTTTATTTTTATAACAATAACTTCATTTAAAATATATTTCATGTTTAAATCATTTTTTGTTTTGTAGGAAAAGTATAATAAAACAAGCTAAATATTATTTATAAAAATTAAAATTAAACATAGCTTCATCTTCAACTTAAAATTTTTCAAATAAAGTGAAAAGTATTTGCAATAATACGTAGTAGCTAGTATATAAGATCTAATACTATCTATTTTGAGATTTTACTCTTTTATATGTTTCAGATAAATTAATCAAATTGGGTGATTTTACTAGCTTCTCGAAAGACATAATATATTAGCATGCTCTTTAACTTGAGTCCGGAGCCTAAAGGGCAAAAAAAATGGTAAAAAATTCCAAAAGGGCACATCACTTTTTATTTTAGCCAAAAGGGCAAAATCGCTGCGTCAGCAGCGATTTTCCTCTGACAAAATGACAAAATCGCTGCCCTAGCAGCGATTTCGTCTAAAAATAATTTTTATTTTTTTTATTAAAAATCGCTGCTTTTTTTTCTTTAAAAAAACTAAAACAGCACATCAAAAAAAAAATTAACCAAAAGGGCTTCTGACAAAACAAAGAATATACATCTCATGTACACAAAACAATGCTTCACTACTGTGGATATACATCTCATGTACATAAAAGAATATTAAATTCAGAAAAAAACTTTTTTTAAAAAATTCTTAACGAAATTCGCTGCTATAGCAGCGATTTTGAAGAAAAAAAAGTTTTTTCTTTTTTGATAAAATATGCAGCGATTTTTATTTTTGTTTTGTCAGAAGCCCTTTTGGTTAAATTTTTTTTTGATGTGCTGTTTTAGTTTTTTTAAAGAAAAAAAAGCAGCGATTTTTAATAAAAAAAATAAAAA